GTACCCCTGTAGTCCTGGAAATTAGGAGGCCGAGTTTGAGGTCAATGTGGGTTACATAGTGAGCCTGTCTCGAAACAAAGCAGAACACTGGAAATAGTGTATTGGAGACAACCTAATAAATAGGTTAGCAAAGACAGCATGGGTGTGACTAGATTTTTGGATTAAGATGCTTGATTCTGTTAACAATGACAAAAAGAAGGCACTTGTGTTCCTATTGTGCGCTCAGGTAATCTGGGGCGTGGAGAGTCTGGTGTTAAGTCATTGTCTGGTGTCTGAGACTAATGTCTGTGTCAGTAGTGAAGCTGCACATAACATCAACTGTTGGCTTCAAAGTCAATGCTTACTACATGAACCTTCTTTCTGGAGATCAGACTCCAAGTGGAAGAAGCTGGTGAAGGCAGGTTCTAAAGCACTGAGCAGGCCTGGGGTAGTGAGCAAGGGGATGTGCACAGAGATACGCTGCCAGGGATGCTCACTAGGTTCCATCTCCTTCTGCATCCTCCTGAGCCTAAAATTACATTTTCATCCAGAAATAAAGGTAATTGTGTCTACTGGGAGAGGATGCAATGAGTTTCTGCAAGGCATGTCTGTACACAAGTACATATGTCTGTCTCTCTCTCTCTCTCTCTCTCTCTCTCTCTCTCTCTCTCTCTCTGTGTGTGTGTGTGTGTGTATGTGTGTGTGTGTGTGTGTAGGCCAGAGGTCAGTCCCAGGTATCATTCTTCAGGTGTCATGCACCTTGCTTTTTGATAGAGGGTCCCTCGTTGGCCTGGAGCTTGCTGATTCGTCTAGACTGGCCAGTCAGGGAGCCCAGGGAGCCCTCTGTCTCCACCTTCTCTATCTGCTGAATTTTGGCGAGCTTGCCAGTACGTGGTCAATATCTCAGGCAGAGCAATTAGTGAGCCTGGCTGGCTGCAGCTGCTTTCAATCGCCTCTCTCGAGTTCCACAACCCATCAAGAAAGTGACTACTGCTTCTCTGAGTAGCAGAAGGTTAAGGAGCTTGCTGGAGCTGTACAGTGTGTGTGTGGAGGGCGGGAGAGAGAGAGAGAGAGAGAGAGAGAGAGAGAGAGAGAGAGAGAGAAAGAGAGAGAGTCTATTCTCTGAGTTGTTTTTGAGATAGGGTCTCCCACTGATCATGGAGCTTGCTGTTTTGGTCTAGGCTGGTTGACCAGCAAGCTCCTAGGATCCGCTTGTCTTTGCCCCCAACCTTTTGTTATGCATGCATGTGTCTGTGGCTGACTTTTAAGTGGGTGCTGAGGAGTTGAAATTATGTCTTCTTGCCTTCACAACAAGCATCTCAGCCACTGAATCATCCCCTTACTGTATTAGCGAGGGTTTCCATTGCTGTGATGAAACACCATCACCAAAGAAACTTGGGGAGGAAAGGGGTTGTTTGGCTTATGTTTCCATATCACTGTTTATCGTTGAGAAGCCAGGACAGGAACTCAAACAGAGTAAGAACCTGGAGGCAGGAGCTGATGCAGAGGCCTGGGAGGGGGCCTGCCTTCTGGTTTTCCAGCCTGCTTTCTTACGGAATCTCAGACCACCAGCCCAGAGTGGTATCGTCCAGAGTGGGTTAGGCTCTCTCTCATCAATCACTAATTAATAAAATGCCCTACAGGTTTGCTTATAACTAGATCTATGGAGTTGAAGCTCCTTCCTCTCTGTTGATTCTAGATTGTATCAAGTTGACATAAAAGTAGTCAGCGCACGGGTTCATTTTCCTTACTCTTCCACATCACAGTCAGACATCCAGAGAAGTCAGGGCAGGAACTCGGGGCATGAACTCGGGCAGGAACCCGGAAGCAGGAGCTGATGCAGAGGCCATGGAGAAGTGCTGCCTACTGACTTTCTCAGAGAAAGACTACTGGTCTTTCTCAGAGACCCCAGGACCACCATCAGCTCAGAGGTGGCACAGCCCATAATAATCCAGGCCCTCCTACACTAATTATCAAACAAGAAAATACCCTTCAAACTTGCCTACAGGCCAGTCCTCTGGAGACATTTTCCTCAACTCAGATTCCTTTTTCCCAGATGACCATAGCATATGTAAAGTTGACATAAAAGCTAGCCAGTACACCTAGTCTCCCAAATTTAATTTTAAAGACCCTGAATTCATGATGGGGGGGACAAGAAAAAATGTTGGGAACCATGGGGAAACAAAAGATATTTTCCACCAAATCTCATATTTTTCTGGTCCTTTTACTCTTCAAACGTATTTCCCTTTAAGATGAGCCAATGTGCTTAACCGTGTTGTGGAAACTATTTTACAGTATCATTTTTGTTTGATTTCACGTCTATGAGACACGATGTGCTGGAGAGATCAATGGTTAGGACTGCTGTGGCCCTTTCAGAGGATGTAAGTTCAGTTCCCAGCATGCAGAGAGAGCAACAACCACCTGCAAGTCCAGCTCTAGGGGATCTGACACCTGCTTCTGGCCTCCATGGCAACCAGCACTTGAGTGCATATACCCACTCCCACACGCATATGTGCATAAATAAAAATAAATTTAAATAAAATGATATGGGGGAAATGGGAGGACTCAAGTCTTACCAATCTGGGGTCAAATTGCAGATCTGGTATATGGTTATTTGTGGCAGCGCCGAAATTTCTCTTGTCTCCGTGTCTGCTGTGCCTCCTGTCCCAGTCTTACCCTCAGACTTCTCTCTCCCTTCTCTGCCCCCTCTTCCTCCCCCTCCTCCGCTCTCCCTCCTCCCCTCTCCCTCCCTCCTCTTCTGGTAGGGATAAGATAAGAATCTCTTCCTGGGTACGTTGGAGAAATTATAAGAAAATTAATTGCAGGCCTTTAACATGGTGTCTCATAAATGATGACCTTCATCATTACTCTAAACTGTTGATTCCGGTTGGCACCCAGATTGGCTTTCCAGTGACTCGGATGCATTCACCACTGTCTGCTTCCTCCACAGATTAACCTCTGTGTTTCTCCACAACTGCGTGCTGATGAGAAACGGCCGCCGGAAGATATGCACAATTTGGAAGCTTGTTGCACAGACTCCCAAGCTGTTCTTGGCGTTGTGTACTGATTTGTGATGCTTATTATGACTCCTTGAAGGAAACTTGTTAGGAAGTCACAAGCTGTGGTCCGTCAAATGAGGAGTGCTTGGGTGTTTGATACCGGCAGACCATCCTGAGACTGCTCTGGAGAGAGACCGAAACTAAGGACGGTCATGCCGGGGTAGTAGACTACTCCAACACCTTTTACTTAGCAAATGAAATGTTAATTAGAGATAATTTTAGCTCTGTCTGGAATCCAGTGCCTGACTGGTACATATTCAGCCTTTGAATTCCCATATGACTAGCATAAGTGAGTAGCTGCTGAGTGAAAGGGACTTTGTCCCTGCCTGGAAGGGCTCACAGGACAACGCTGCACAGGGCACATGACTTTGGGGGACAGGCTGGAAGAGACCAAAAAGTGGGTGGTCAGAATCACAGTCCTTCACAAGGTCCTATGCTCTTCTGAATATTTACACACATCAGGGCCAAGACTTCTTATCAAACACCAAAACCCTGGGAGAAAGCTCAGTACAGCAGACCGCTCCTTAAAGCTGCCGACTTAGGAATGTAAAGGACCAAGCAGAACTAAGCCAGGACCAGAGGGCAGGAGAGTAACCCACAGACTCATAACTGTTAACAAAATACTACACGCTTTAAAAAGATATTTATTAAGCAATTGTTGCTTATTACACCCAAGGAAAGGGAATGCATATTCTATGAGAGAGGTGTATGAGAGCTGCAGCAAAGTCTTAGTTAACGTGTACAAATCCTTCAAAGAAAGAAGCCAAAATACCACAGTGACATTCTGACACACTATGGTGACTTACATGGACCAGCTGCAGAAGTGCTTAGGACTTCATATTTTAGTGATAGTGCTACAGTATTTAACGATATTCACACAAATGAATGTTCTCTTATACATTAAACACAACATGGAATGTGAAGAATATAAATATTTTTGTGACTTGAGCTACATATGTGATTTGGGTTTGAATTGTTAAGACCATGGACATATTTTCAAGCTGTTTCTCCCTGGGCTCTCTGTTCTGGGGGAGGAGAGGGGCCTAAAGAGGACATCTGTGAATATTTTGATAGAATTTTCTAGCCATATCTTTATGAGGAATGTTTTCTGAAAGTAGAGGGTTTGTCTTTTCTTTTTTGCCAGTTTCCAGAGTAGCCGGCAGTCCTTTGAGAAAAGGTCTGTAAAGTAAAGGCAAGAAGTAGCCTTGGCAATGCCAGGCTAACAACAGCAGGGACAGAAACACACAGCATTTAGAAAACAAGACAACGATGATGTTGGCCTAATTAGCTACGTCCAGCATCCCAAAAAGTTTGGGGTTCAGAAGGAAAACCACAAAAATAATCCCCATCAGAACCTTCCTCCTCAACTACTCCACGTTTGTATTATTGCAAAGAGCTGGCTGACTGAATCTGAGGAATCCAAGTTGGTCAGTGGCATGAGCTTCATGTTGGGAGTCTGTGTCCACCACCAGACTATGTAGCTTCCTGATGATTTTGAATAGTAGTTTGCTTTCTGCTAAAAATAGATCGATAAATAAGAATGAGTTCCCATTCTCTGAACTACTGTTTGTCACTGGTCCTCTGTGCAGCTTGCTGCTGTGCTCTCTGGCTACTGTGACCGTTTATGTCCCAGAGAAATCACAGGCGACCCACAGCTAGCACAGTGTGTCTTTAAGAACATCACTTCTTTCTTTGAACACTGTTATTTACACTAGATACAGTGCTTCTGAAAACAGAATGACTCTATTAGCTTACACATCAAGAACACTTTATATATGTAAATATTATGCAATATTTTAAAGAGGTACACACTGTTCTTTAAAAGACGAAAGAGTGTAGGCACCAGTCTTGCACAAAATCTCAGTTTTTCTTTTTAAAAAAATATTGAATTCAAGTATAAGGATAAATTAAAAAAGACAAAATGAACTAAACTGTTCATGATAAACCCAAAATTCTAACTATCTTGGGTAGTTAAAAGAAAGTATTTGCATGAAAAACAAAATTAGACTTGAGTCTAATTTCACCTCAGCCTTCTCTGCAGGCAGGTCACCGACAATGGTGGTCCTAGGTAGAGGGGGTACTGGCGTGTTCCTAAACTTCCTCATCACAGATTTTAACATGGTCGTTTGTTTGTTGAAATGAAGTTTCACTCTGCATCCCAGGCTGTGATGGAACTCACTCCTCAGGCAGTCCTTAAACTAATGATAATCCTCCTGCCTCAACTTCCAAGGGCTGGGGTAACAAGTATGCATCATCACACCCAGCTAAATTTTCCAATTTAAAATAATTGAAAGACATAAATGTCTAAAGTGATCATTTGAAAAGCTCCTCTTCATATAACGGTGTCTTCCTCTATGGAAGACGATGACCCTGATTTGACAGTGCCTAGGCTTTGACAGAACCCTGACTGCTGACAATGGGCAAGGGAAGCAGAGACTACAGGGAGAAGTTGGCTTCTTCCCTTTGCGAATGTCCTCTACGTGATTCCCACTAACAGACATGTTAGCTCTGTCTACAATATTGTAGTGGCAGTCCATTCAAACATATTTGGAGTCAAGAATACAACACTCAAGTGGGATAAATGGCCCATTGCAGTTCTGTGGTGGGGACATTTAATATTTGCCTACTAGAGAGATCTGCTTTGTAATTCAAATATTTTTATCCACTACCCACCCAGCAACACAACATGGAGATGATTGTGAGATCACTAAGAAGAAAAAAATCTTTGGCTTGTTAATCAATTTCTCAGAACTCAGAACATAGCAGGCACACAGCAAATATTGAGGAATAGTAGGCTTTCCCACACAGGCTCCTTCAGGGTAATTTTCTTTAGCCCTGAGTCTTAAACGATACACAGAATGCAATAACATAAAAAAGTTGCAAGTAATAAAGGAGGAACGATTGGAGAGGACAAATTAAAGAGTCCTTCTCTAAACACACCCTTTCATCTCCCAGGTCAGCCACTGGGAAGCTCAGAGGCCCTTACTCTGCAGTCCATTCCCCAGATGTGAGCTCAGGACTGTTGGCATGGACCACAGAGACGGGCCCACTAACAGAAATTAAGCAACTGGTCAGAAGTCAGACTTGTTTCTCTCTAAAACAGTGATAAACATTACCTTTTGAAAACTTGTTTCCTCTCAAGTGTGGTGTATTTATAGACAAAACTGATCAGGAAGTTAAACTTCCTCTTTTTAATTTTTAATTTCCTCTTGAGGAGATGGATAAGCTGAACGTACTATTGACAACTCGTGGGACTGAAAACATCAGCGTTCTTTGCTGATACAATCTGGGTGGTTAGAGTGAGCTTCATGTCCACATGGGTTCCAGAAATATTTCTTTAAAGGTAATTCTCATTATGCTTGTTTTTGATGTTTCCAAAGCAAGTAGGCAATCTGCTACTTCAGCTTAATAACCTTGCCTTAAATAGCTTAACCAGTCCTTTCTGTAGGAGTTGCTTACTTGACAGCAGTACACAGAAGAATGGAAACAATCATTGGAAAGATAGATTTAGATCATGCAGTTGAACATACAGAAAGTAGTACCTTTACAAATGAAAATTTGGTCTTTATAGCTCAGATGCATGATATTTATTGAAAGGTGTACTCATTCATAATTATGACTAAGAGACCATGAGAGCAGAAACCCATAAACCATTGAGCAATGAGGTGTGAATAGCAAGACTACCTTGCTATTCACATGGCAGGGACAAGTAGAGATAAATTATTAAAACTTTTAAAGTTTTGGATAACATAAGGCATAAATGTTGGGGAAAGCATGAGCCTGCCTTCACCGTTTGTAACTTTCTGATATTCTTTAGGTTGCTATAGGCTGGCCAGAATAAATAATAACTACCTATCGACGAATGAAAGGCTCATGATTAGCTAATATATTAAGTCAATGAAGGCAGTCTGTGTCTCTTACAATGTTTCACTGCCTGAACTGGTGCATGCAACTTAACTGGGTTATTAATTTTGCGGATGCAGTTTGCTCTCATCCACCATGAAGATGGAGCATTAGGTGTGACCTTGGCATCTGTTGCTCTAAAATCCTGCAATACTATTATACTACTAAAAATCATTTGGAAGGAACAGGTGTTTATTTTTAAACATTTTGTGTGAGATTAATAATTATTTCCCATGCACTCTGGAGTGTCTGCTTGCTATGATAACCACCAATCACATTTGTCTGTTGAACACTTGAAATGTACCTGCTACAACTTAGAAGAACTGAATTGTTTATTTTAAGCAACTTTGAATTTTAAAAAAATGATAGACTATGCTACTTAAGTTTTTGTGTACTCGTGAAATTTAAGCTGTTGAATCTATTTTTCCATGATCAAGTTAAATGTGTCAAATATTACTAATGAAACTAACAGTCCAGCTTCAAGTTGGCTGCCTGTGTAAGGAACATACTAGGTTTCAAAATTACTGTGGGGGAGGAAAGGGGACTTCTCAGTCATTTCATATTGATTACATATGTGCCGTACATTATGGTGCATTTAGGTGAATGCTGTGGAGCATTGTGGAGATTGCTAGCTTTGAGAAGTCATGTCTTAAGTTGTTTGTAATGTTATTTCATTTTTAGTATGATGAGAAAAGCAAATGGGGTTTAGTGTTTGCCCATCAAGAAGGAAAGCCGTTGCTCAGCCTCTGTCTCCTTCCTCCGTGTGGCAAAGCTGTCAGTAGCTCCAAATGCAAAACCATGGGGACATGCAGGGATGGCGCAAGAGCACTCTGATGTGTGCACAGTCACATCAAACTGCACAGACACCCCCGCATCCGGCTGTACTCCCCGCCCCCCGGTGTCTCCAGATCCCTTTGTCTCTACTCCTAACCTGCCTTTCTGCTTCCTCCCTAGTTCTGCATGGCTATGGCTTCTGGTGTGGAGCAGTGAGAGATGATTGGGCACTGCCACGTGCCGTCATGTGTTGATGCTCGACTTGGTCCAGACCCGAGAGCTTTCATCCTTCAGAGTGGAGAGCTTTCTCTGGGAGAAGGATTCGAACCCGAGAAGTTTGAACACTGCCACGCGGTACTTCTTGGACATGATGTTGTACAGAATGGGGTTGATGGCGGCACTGAGGTAGAAGAGAACAAAGGACACGAGGTTGCAGTACTGGCTAATCTGCGCAATCTCCAGGGAGCCGGGCTCGAAGGACTTGGAAAACAGGTATCTTCCCACGTGGAAGGGCAGCCAGCAGAGGATGAAAGCGAACACCACCACAGCTGGAGGAACAGAGCAGGAGAGGCTGTCAGTGCGAGGCATGTCACAAACCACTGTATCAGTGTGAGGCATGTCACAAACCACTGTATCAGTGCGAGGCACGTCACAAACCACTGTATCATCAGTGCGAGGCATGTCACAAACCACTGTATCAGTGTGAGGCATGTCACAAACCACTGTATCATCAGTGCGAGGTATGTCACAAACCACTGTATCATCAGTGCGAGGCATGTCACAAACCACTGTATCATCAGTGCGAGGCATGTCACAAACCACTGTATCAGTGTGAGGCATGTCACAAACCACTGTA